ATGCTTTCATGGTTTGTGTGCTTTGCATTGGCTGGGTCAAGAAGAAAACCCTGAACTCTAATGAGAAGATCTTGCTGCTGCTGGGATGCTCCAGGTTTTGCTCTTTGTGCATCTCATGGGCATATTCATTTCTCTCAAGAATTTATCCAAATTACCTTTATGTTCATACCGTACTTCAACTAGCTGTATTTTTTCAAGCCTTTTTTAATCATTGCAATTTGTGGTTTTCTGCCTGTCTTTGTGTTTTTTATTGCATAAAAATAGCCAATTTCAGGAACAGCTTCTTCATCTACCTGAAAGTAAAAATTGACAGAATGGTGATGTGGCTCTTGTTGGGGTCAGGGATTTTAGCTTTGGCTATTGGCATCGTTGCCTACAACATCGCTGATAAACCGCACTGCAACAACCACAATTCTACCAGACCGGGCAATTTTGGGAAAGCAAATATCAAAATGGATAAACATTTTTTCCCTTCTTTTTTTTTTGCTGGCTGTGGATATGCTGCTTCATTCATGGCAGTCATCTTTTCTGCTGTTTTCCTTCTATTTTCTCTCTGGAAACACAAGCGTAAGATGCAGACAAACTCCATGAAGGACCTCAGCATGGAAGCCCACATCAGAGCCATGAAATCTATTCTCTCCTTCTTAGTGATGTACAGCATTAACTTTGTATGTTTGGTCTTAGAAATGGTTTATGTCACACAGAAGATCAGTCATATGACATTCCTCATTGTAGTATTTCAGTTCATTTTTCCAGGTCTTCACTCCCTTATTCTGATTTTCAGCAATCCTAAACTGGAAAAGGCACTGCTAAGGATTCTTTCCTTAGAAAGAAGTCTGAGGCACAAGGTTTGCATGAGTTAGGAGCTGTAATAAAATCTGGACCCCATGCAAAATGGTAATATTTCATTCTAGAAAATAAGTCGTTTAATCTCTACTGCAACTCTCCAAGAACTGTAGATACAAATGTTGTCATCACTGAGATCAGAATATATCATTCAAATACTATGAACTCAATTAATGTGACTAATATTTTCAATTATAATTACATTTAGGTAATTTTTTGATTTTAATTATTGTCAATAACAAATTTATTTTCACCTGGTACAAGAGCTGCATGTAAAAGGGTAATAACAATACTGCAAACCTGCCACAAATGCACTGGCAATTTCTGATTGAAACAACTGAAATTAACTGCAGGTTTTAATCTCTATTTTGGTTTACCCTTCTTTCTGCTGTGGCCCTGTGCTGTGTGATCTATTATGGGCTGTATCACTGTCTGGCAGTGGCCAAGAGCTCTGTGTGAACATGCTGACCC